AGGTCTCGGGTTGGGAAGGAGATTATGTGTCATGGGGGTGGGGTTAGATGTCCCATCCTAATGCCAGATTCCTCTTAGAATTCCAATATCCTTGTCTGGGGCCCCAGAAAATGCAGATCTGTCCCTGGGACCTATCTGCCCTGGGTCACCATGTGCCATCTCTCACGTACCCACTCCACCGTGTCATGACACGTATTTATGGGGCATGCCAAAATCCAGAGTAAGCAAAGATCTCTTTACCTCTTGGTATCCCCAACGAATCTAGGAGTTCTCTCTGGCACTCTCCCCCTCCCAGCAGGGCACAAGGCTCCTTCTCAGGGACCTGCCACATTCTAACATATCCTTTCCTGGTCTGCATCTTTTGATCTGGTTCACAGACTGGGTGGCCTGGCTCTTTGAACTTCTAGTGTTAGCTTTATGCAAAGCTTCCTTCAGGTACTGGCCTTCTGTATTCCAAAATAGTGATACTTTTTTAGCAAATCAAAAACCATGACCTCTAAGAACATTGTCTCTGCTGAGTTGGAACAACTTCTTTTGGAGCTTAAAGCCAATAACTGGACTGCGTTCTTCCAGAGGCAATGACTGTGCCCTGGGACCATGAATGCCACCGACAGCTCAGAATTCCATCCACAGCACCTGCTTTCCTGAGGCCACATCTCACTCCAGAACATTTGAGGTCTTCCACCAATGTCTCCAACTCGGTCCACTGTGCTGTTAGTGTGCCAAGGCATATGCAAAGCTCTGGGGTGTTTACAGGGCATCTTCCTGGTACACTGATTTTACTTAGAGTCTAGGAGTGAAAAGCATTTTTCTGTTACATAAACATGCCCCTATTACGTTGTCAGATGCAAAATTCACATGTGTTTTTAGGACAAAACAGAAGAGGAAATTCCAAACATGCTGGGCTGCTTTAGACTCTGTCCCCAGATCCCCAGACATGCATACTCAGGGTCCTCTGCTATTAATTCTTTCCCTGGGAAAGTTTGGGACATACTGGTTTGCTGTCCGCATGCCTTCACCTGGTTTTCAATGCCCTCTTAACTCCAACCTCATCCTACTTATCCAAACCGATTTCTGAGTGTGACAACTCTGCTCCACAACCTTCCTAAAGCTGTGACTCCTAATGAATGCATCATGGCCCAACGTCTCTGTAAACCTTCCCCGACTATTGTGCAGAATTAATCACTTTGTTCTCTGGGCTTCATAACACTTTCTGTCCAGCTCTATGAAAGCATCCCTACAGTGCAACAGTTATAGTGATAATCTGTGCCTCTCTTTAACTCTAAACCTCTTGAGGGCAGGGCCATGTCTCATTGTTTTTCATACTCTCAGAGCCCAGCACAGTGCCTGATACACAGTGGTCTACACTGTTCGTTGGATGCAGTGAGGGCTCTGCAAACACTTTCTATCTAACACTGGGGTGTCAGGGCTCCTGTTTGGGGGAAAAAAGACATAAGAAGTAGGACCAGTCTGGACGTTCTTGAGATGATTGCCCATTCATTCATTACTTGTTCATCCTTTCATCAAATACGGATGAAATGTCAGATGATATGCTGGTCACTGGGATAGAAAAATAAATAAGACACAGACCCTGCACTTGAGATTTTCATAGTCCATGGGGACAACTATCAACAGACAAACTAATGTCCTGAGTGTTCATCTTAGAAAAGCTATGTAGTCTTGAGGAACATGGAGTGGATGGGCGTACTTGTGGCTGTGGATACTATTCAGACCTCAATTTCTTCTTTAGGCCTAGATTTTAGAGTAAAATCAGTTCTCATTTCCTTTGCGCCAGTGCTTTGCTGAGTGTTTAACATGGTTTATCTAGTTCAGTCTTCACAATAGCCTGGGGAGGTGGCATTATTATTTCTAGCTCTATTCTCCAGAGGAGCAAACGGAGGCTTAAAGGTGCTTCACAGTGTATATAACAAGGCCATTTATGGAGTGGAGGCCATTTGACCCAGTGCCTGTGACCTTGAACCCTGTCTACACTGCCTCAGGGGAGAGGACCAACCTAGCGGCTGTCAGCAGAACAAATAGGTGTGCAGGAGGGAAATATGTGAGCCCCATTCTTAGAGTGGGGTGCGGGGGAGCCCACTGGACTTCGGGTGAAATCTCTAATGGGAGAGAGAGACAATCTAAATTGAGGTCCCTGAGTGAAAACTGTAAGGTCCCAGCTCCTGTGTCGTCATCCCCATCCTTGTCAATCTGCTGCCCTCCAACTGTTTCTCTATAGATTAGCAGTGAAAATAAACACAAAGACATAAGGGCACAAAGGGGAAGGGCCTGTGGCTGGGCTTAGGAGTCAAGGATGAAAGGGGAAACTGGAGAGCTGGGATCAACTCAGTGGTGAGTCTCGAGGAGAAACAGGCTCAAAGAGATCAAATAGGGTCAGGTTTATAAAAGAAAGGAAAGCCAGGAAATCCACAACTAGTGGTGAGGAAAAGACGCGGGAGGCACGGAGCAGACAGAGCTGGCAGTGGGGGGCCGGTGGGGAGCCTGTGGGCTCCCTGCACCCCTCTGAGCCCTTGCTCTTGCCCCCCACCCCGTTTTGCTCTGGCCTCCCGCGTCTACAGCATCCCTGCATCCCCGCATATGTTCAGTCAGCTGTTCAGAGGCAGGAACAACTCAAAGGAGTAGAGAGCTGTGAGCGTGAAGGTTACTCGGGAAAGCATCATATAGCACAGTTTCATTTGTCACCTTAGCGTGGCCCAAGAGGACAGTAATTGGTGGCTTTTGACAGCTACCAGTCAGTGGCTTTAATCACACATCCCACAGACTTTTACTGAGCCCCTACTATGTGCCAGGATCTGTAGGGAGGCCAGGGACACAGAAGCAGGTGAGACGGGTCCACATCTAAGGTGCCATCACCTGGGCAGAGGAAACCAAGAGTTGTAACGTAGTGTGTTGAGGGCTCCATCCAAAATCACGGAAGGCACCCGACCCACTGTGGGGAGGGGCAGCTGGAGGGCGACCAGGGGCTTCTACGGCAACAGAAACCTGGACATTTCTCCTGTTTCACTCTGGGTCCCAGGTCCACCTCTCCGTTTCTATTGGGTTGGCCAAAATGTTCGTTCAGGTTTTTTCGTAGATGCTATGGAACAACCCAAACGAACTTTTCGGCCAACCCTAAATTTTAAATTACTCCAGATCAAAAGCCACTACTGTTTCCCTCCATCTCCTTGGTAAGATGGCGCTCCTTCCCGCCACTCTGAAGTTCATTGTTCCCACAGAAAAACACGGACATATATTAACTTACCAATAATCTCACTTTACTTTGACTATTCTGGGCCCAGTCAGATTTAGACTGCTTTCAATCCATGAGTCTTTTTCTGGGGAGGGGGCGGTGGAGGCACATCCTGCCACCCACACCTTCCCGGGTACGAACCGTCTAGGCAGCCCAGATCTCCCCACGGGAATCTTTCTTCTCACACCCACACCACCTGCGGTCCCCACTCACAGCCCTGCCCGCTGCACCGATTTCTGCCTCTGCATCCTCCCTCAAGGTGCTTCTTGCCTGCAATGCCCCGCTCCCCGTTTCCTTTCCTATACTGGTCCTGGGCATCTTCAACATCTAGCGCATTCGTTCAAATCCACGAAAGTTTTCTGATACTTTTCTCTGTACCTCCCCCATTTCTTTTTTTCTCTGAACAAACAGTCAGTCTCCTCCACCTTTGACCTTTGGGGAGTGGACAGCCAAGAATGGTGTGGCCTCCCACCGTTCCTGCAAAGGAAGGGGCAGCATTTCCTCCAAATGACAAAGGGCTTGTCCTTGTAGGTCCACATTCCCGAGCCCTCTCCTCAAAGGATCAAGAGGCACAGGGAGACCCTTAGAAACACAAAGTCATTCCCTTACTGTCTCATCCCGGATAATCACTCACGCTGAGCAGAGAGGGAAGCACATAGCATCATTCATTTTACTCCCCAGCTGCCTCCCCAGGGGCGAGTGTGCATAGGTAAATTTGCTGCATATTTTAGCAAGGCTGCAGTAGATTACTGGGGTGACCATATGATTTATTGCCCAAGCCAGGACACTTGAAAAAGGAAGGGCATTCTAAAAATAACTAACAGGCACTCATGGATCTACAACAGATGTAACCCGAGACTATCCTGGGCAAGCCAGGATATATGTTCCCCCTATAGAAAATGCTGGGTGTTCAGGGACCCTCGACACTCTTCAACTACATGTCAGTCAGGGACTGCTTTCTATCCAGCCGTATTTATCATTCATTCAATAAAATATCCATGTGCCAGGCCCTGTGGACAGCCCTGTAAGGAAGACAAACCCTGCCCTCATGGAACTTACATTCTAGTTGAAGAGGCAGAAAGTAAACGAATAGAAACTATACTTTCAGGTAGTGATAAGCTCTGAAAAGCAGAGCCCAAGGGAAGGGGAGAGATGTGTGACGTGGGGAGGGAAGGCCTCTCTGAGGGACCTTCTGAGGGAACAGTGTGCAGGCCCCGAGGTGGGAGGGGGCTGGGAGGCTTGGGGAACAGGAAGAAAAGAGGGAAACAGATCAGGAAGGGTCGGGAGGCCATAGAAAGCTCGGATTTTATTCTGAGTGAGATGGGAAGCCATTGGAAGGTTTGCGCAGGCCAAGGCTGCAACCTTATGTGCGTCTTAAAAAGAATCACCCTGGCTTCTGGTGGAGAGAACAGTGCAGAGGTGCAAGCACGGGAAAAGGAGTCCAGGCTGTTGTAATCGTATGACAGTGGGGTGCTGGTGGCCTGGGCCATGGCGGAAGAGGTGGTGCTGGCGCAGAAGGGGCTGGACTCAGGAAGCATGGCAGGGGTGGCATCTCTAGGACTCGGGAGCGGGCGGGAGTGGATACCGTACAGTAAGCCCAAGACCCTGGGATAGGGATGAGCCCAGCCAGTCCCAGCCCGGCCTTCGGCTCCTTCCAAGGCTTGTTCTCAACCTGGCATTACTTGGAATTTGGACGCCACAGACGAGCAGCACTGGTCCTCCAGGCAGGAGGGGAGGCCCTGGCCACCCTTACCTTTGGCTCTGTGGTCTTCCTCCTTGGGGCACTTGCCCCCTTCCCACCACTTGCGCTTCAGAATTTCCAGACGGTTGTTCTCCTGCAACTGGAGAATGGCCAGATCAAACTCGTCCCGGAAGACGGAGCCTGTGGGTCACAGGAGAGCCCAGAACACAGGACATGAGCGCCCCCGTCTGCATCTCTCTGCTCCCTCCCCGGCAAACCTCCCTGCCACCCTGCCCACGTAACATAGGAGAGGAGGGACAGGGGTCCCCCGCAGGAGCACGGCTCTCTACTTGCTCAGGCTGAGGACTCTCCACGCTATGCAGGGCACCAGGCGTTTCTACTTTCCTTCTCTCCACGCTGACTGGCACGCCCAGCCCACGGCCAAGACCCCAGCATGGGTCAAGTGACAGCCTTCCGGGCAGCTGTGCCACCCACCTCCCCACCCAGGCGCCAACACTTTCTACCTGGGTGAACCCACCTCCCCACCAGCATGCGGGAAGCTGGTTGCAAAGCTCCCGGTCCGCCTGCCCCTGGGAGGCCGAGGAGGGAAATCTTCTGTGACACAAACCTTGCAATCAGTTGCCTATTTTCTACTTTATTGAAATTAGTTTCTCTGCCATTTGTAACTCTCACTACATTACACCCGACAATTGTTTACCCGGAGCGGCCACCAATGAGAAAAGGGCCACCCAGAGCGAAGTGGAAGCTTCCTCTCTTCCATCTGTGTGGAGAATCAGTCTGGGGCAGCCCCTCTCCCGCACACCTGCCTGCTGGGTGCCCCAGGACCCCTGGCCCCGTCCACTACTCTGTTTACATCGCTCCTCTCTCCCTCCTCAGACAGAAGGCTCTGTTGAGTGCAATTCTTTTTTAATTTTTCATATGGAGTATGGTCAAGGAGCTTTGGTTCTGGAATGTAGGTTTAATCACAAGAACAGGCTTAAATGAAACCGCGGAAAGCTCGATGCCCCAGCACAGGCTGAGCCCTGAAATTATTAAGAAAAATCATTAAGAAAAAGCTGCCAGGAGGCTGGAAATGAACTAAGCTGCCCAGTTTTCTTGTCCAAGCTCTGTAAAGGCCTGATGTGGACAGACGCCCCAGGGAAAAGGGCTTTGATGCAGGATACAGGCAAAAGCTGGAACAAATAGATTCCTGCTCTGAAACTTTCATGCACACAGGAATCCCCTGGGGATCTTGTCGACCTGCAGACTCTAATTCAGTGGGTCTGGGGGTGGGGGCTGAGATTTTGCATTTCTCACAGGTTCCAAGGAGGTGCCCTGCCGCTGGGCCATGGGCTGCACTTTGACAGGTAAGGAACCAGATCAGCTCCCAGATCTCTTAGCACTCTAACAGCCCATGACTCCATAGATAGAACCTTCCCTGCTACAGATACAACTACCCTTGGGCATTCACACCCCAAGCCTGCAGCGCTGAATGTGATCTGGGTGAATGTCAACAGCACCTCATATATTATATAGCAGGTGCTTAACACACATTTGAAGTGAATGGCTACTGGACCTAACAGATGGTGTTAGGCGGTGAGACTAATGAATATTCCAGGTTTAGAGACCAGTATCCAGCCAACAAGGCATTTCAAGCAGTGTTCGAGGCATCTTCAACCCAATCTCAGTAGCACACCAAGGGCCCCATGAAAGGATTATTCTGCTTACGCCATGTTTGCCTACTTAGCTCCTAAACTACCCGACTAATTTTCCGTCTCATTCCTTGTTCTGTTTCTCTTCATCTTCCTGGGTCTAACCACACTGCTTATCCCATAGTTACACCCTTACTTTCCACTTAAGAAGGACACACATGCTTGTCTTTCCTGCACCTAAATCCTGTCCCATCAATCGACTATGCAATGCTCTTCCCAGCCTGATCTGAGAACCTGGGCTAACCCATAGCTCACCTTCCCCATCTATGCTGTCCTGTCGAGCTGGTGGACCCGTTTGGCAACACGGTCTGAGAGGTGAAATGCTGGATTTGGAGATAGGCCCCCTAGGCTCAAGCACAGCTTTTCTCTCCACTTATTCTGTGACCTTGGACAAGTAACTTATCAGCTCTGAATCTCAGTTCTCTCCTCTAGAAATGGGAAGAACCACATCTCCCCCGCAGGTGGGATAAGACTAAGATAACACATATGGAAACAGCATCACCTCAGACACAGAACCAGCGCATTTGCCTCCCCTTTTCCTTGGTTACTGATGAGAATTTCTAGAGTCAGGCTGCTTTATGCCATGTCTATAGGTTTGTGCCATGAAAACTTTTGAAGCACTTGACAGTTCAGTTAAATTGTATATTATCCAGGTGCACCTTAGGTTCATTTTGTGGTTCCCTCCACCATCTTGAAACACAACGTCAACCAGTAAATTTCTCAAAGGGGCCCGTAATCTGTATTATTAATGCAATCAATGAAACGTGATGCTAAGTGGAGGGTATGCAGGTGCCCTGAGTGAGGCTTCCGGTTTACAGAACTACTAGCGTCAGAAATTACAGAGTTCAAGCCTGAACCATATTATTGCCTATATTCGTTGGCTTGGTTTCTGATCAGTCTTGAAGAAGTCATCTGCTTTTATCAAATAACAGAGGGAACATTGGAAAATGTGGAGAGGGCACTAATGTTCCCCCTAAAAGGCTAAGTGTGATGAAACACTGTGGTGAGACCAGATTATTCAGTTTTAACCTTTGTAACAACCCTCTGAGGTACATATGAGAAACCTGATTTTACAAGTGCGATAATTGAGACTCTGAGAGGTTAGATAACCTATCCAAGGTCCCACAGCCAGGAAGCAGGGTGCATTCCCAGATCTGCCTGACTCCATCCCATGCCCTTCACATGACACAGGTATAAGTGAGGCCTATAATTTATAGAGCTCTGAGTTAGGTACCGATCAAGAGAAGGGGTGTGACACTACTATATATACAATAGATAACCAAACAAGGACCTACTGTATAGCACAGGGGACTATACTCAATATTTTGTAATAACCTGTAAGGGAAAAGAATCTGAAAAAGAATAGATATATACCTGAAACACTTTCCTGAAACTAACTTACACCTGAAACTAACACAACATTGTAAATCAACTACACTTCAAAAAAGAAAAAGAGAGAGAAGTGGTGTGTAACATACCAACAAAGATGCACATCCTGTGCATCAATTTCCCCACATGACATGATTTCCTCCATTCCT